TGCTGAAAAGTCAAGGACTATCTGTAAGTCCAGTTGCCTTTTGGAAAAGCGCCTTTGGGATGTGATGTCCACCTTTGGCCTCGTGTGGACCCAGTCCGGTTGAGTGTGGAACGAGTAGAAGTGGGCGTGGATTTCAATCCTGGTATTCGAGACTCTGGCTGCACACAAATGCGACACAACTCGGAAATGCCCTTCCTCTGGGCGTGCATGTAATGTCGCAATGCACACTCGAAAGGGGCGGGGCCTGTTGCCACATTGTGAGGCCGCTTGTTTCAGATGAACTGGCTTGACATCTATTGGCAGTGGAAGCTGCGTTGATGTAGATCAGAGGTGGGAAACCGTGGCCCCTTTATGAGCTGTGGACTTCCAACTCCCAGAATTCCGGAGCCAGCATCAGGAATTCTGGGAGTTGAAGTCCACCAGTTGTAAAAGGGCCACCGTTCCCCACCCCTGAGGTAGATCAAGGAGACTGAAGTCCGCCTGGTTTTAAAGTGTGCTGACTGTGGACTATACACCCTTTAATCTGAGCTTTGGTTTTTGGGCCTGCACGAGAGAAAACAGGATCTAGCTGAAAATTATGGGAAATGCTGAACCTCAAATAGTTATAAGATGAATCCTCGTTATTAACCTCCTTGCTGCATTGGCTTTGGGACCGAGAGGGACTTGTCTAAGATTAACTATGGTGGGTGGGAATGATGGGACTCACAACCCAGCAGTTATGAAAAAAAAAACCCTGCCTAGTCAGTATGTTGGGTGGGGATACTAAATAGAAACCTAAATATTGATCTATGACTTAGCGTTGGTTTAGTAAATAAACCACCGAAAGGCTGGCTGGACTGTGCTGGTTGGTGGACTAAAACTGCCCTTGATTCTGGCTAGCAGCAACAGCATTTAGACTTATATACCGCTTCATAGTGCTTTACAGCCCTCTCTAAGCAGTTTACAGAGTCAGGTTATGGCCTCCATCAATCTGGGTCCTCCTGGGAAGGACGGAAGGCTGAGTCAACCTTGAGCCGGTCAGGATCGTACTGCTGGCGGTGGGCAGAGTCAGCCTGCAATGCTGCATTCTCACCACTGCACCACCATGGCCCTTCCTTCCTTCCTTCATTCATTCATTCATTCATTCTTCCCTTCCTCCCTCTCTCCCTCCTTCCTTCCCTCCCGCCTCCCTTCCCACCTTCCTTCTTTCCCTCCCTCCCTCCCTCCTTCCTTCCCTTCCTCCCTCCTTTTTTCTTTCCTTCCTTCCTTCCTTCCCTCCCTTCCTCCTTCCTTCCTTCCCTCCCTCCTTCCTTCCTTCCTTCCTTCCTTCCTTCACACCTTCCTTCTCTCCCTCCCTCCCTCCTTCCTTCCCTTCCTTCCTTCCTTCCTTCCTTCCTTCCTTCGCACTTGGCCATAGCACTTAGACTTATATACCGCTTCACAGTGCTTTTACAGCCCTCTCTAAGCGGTTTACAGAGTCAGCCTATTTGCCCCCAACAATCTGGGTCCTCGTTTTACCGACCGCGGAAGGACGGGAGGCTGAATCCGCCTTGAGCCCCGCCAGAACCGAACTCCTGGCCAGTGGGCAGAATTAGCCGGCCATCCTGAATTCTAACCCCACTCTCATCACCGCCCCACCAAGGCTTGCAGGCCTGACTGCACACCGTGAATTGTGTTTCCCTAACCTGTGATTACTTGGATTTACTTCTGCGTTCCTCTTCTTTTGAAAGCCCAGCGATGGCCTGGCCCATTGTTGCAGAGTCACGTGCTTTCTCGCTTGCTGTGAGTTTGCCTCCAGACAGGCAGTGTAGTAATCTGCAGGGAAAAACAACGATGCCCTTCAAGGACAGGCCGATGAGGCAAGACGTGGGGGCTCCTCACGGCTTGCCCAGCCTAGGAAAATAAACAGGAAGGTTGCACAACTGACTTCAAACCGTCAAAACTGCTAGACTAGAGAGAGTTCAGAATCCGTGTGGCCCAAATAGGAATAGAAACGTTGGACCTTTGTCTTCCACGTGGAGCTACAGTGGAGCTGGGGACGGGCATTAAAACATCCCCAGGGGTCAAGGAGCGACTCCCAGGTGATTGCAAAAACTGTTTAGTTATTTTTAGGATGCCACCTGGTTGGATGTTTGACAGATGCTTGGCTAGGTCCAGCTTCAACGCCTGTTTTCCTTTTGTAAGGTCAGTCACCCTTCACGAGTCTGGCACAGTTCAGGAAACTGCGTAGTTAGCTGTGATGCCTCCAAAGCCCTCACCACATTCCTTGAGAAACTATAAAGCAGTGTTTCTCAACCTTGACAATTTTAAGGCATGTGGACTTCAACTCCCAGAATTCCACAGCCAGCAATGCTGGCTGTGGAATTCTGGGAGTTGAAGTCCACATGCCTTAAAATGGTCAAGGTTGAGAAACACTGCTATAAAGAATCCCTCACTAGACAGAGACCACAAAAGAAGAAGAATATGAGCCAAGGCAGGTGCGATGCATTTTGTCCACTAAGGACGACGTGGACTCCCATCAGATGTTGTGGTTCCCCCCATTCCCATCCTCTTGGCTGCTGATGCAATACAATATCTATGGAGGTTATTCTCAGTCCTCCAGGTCATAGTGGAACCAGTGGAACTACCTGCCTCCAGAAGCGGTGAATGCTCCAACACTGGAAGATTTTAAGAAGAGACTGGACGGCCATTTGTCTGAAATGGTATAGGGTTTCCTGCCTGAGCAGGGGGTTGGACTAGAAGACCTCCAAGGTCCCTTCCAACTTTATTATTAGTATTATTATTATTATTATTATTATTATTATTATTATTATTATTATTATTATTATTATTATTATTATTATTATTATTATTATAGTTATCCCAAAGGTGCTTTTTTCAGGAAGCAACTGGACTTTCTTGTTTTTTCTTGAAGACATTTCGCTTCTCATCCCAGAAGCTTCCTCAGCTCTGACTGGATGGTGGGGAATGGAAGGATTTTTAAAATATATATATATATATATATATTATTGATTTTTTTTAACACAAACACCTTAATATTTGGTAAACAGCATGTTGTCTGGCTTTATATTTACAAAGTAATCACTAACAGTTAGTTTCTATATTCCAAAATCCACATAACAGCTTGGCTTGATTTTTCTCTTCTTCCAATCACGTTCTCTTTTTCCACCGTAAATGAATACAGTTCTTATTAATTTGATAGGCAACGATTAAACAGAAAGGTTTTTTCTAAAATGTCTACCAATAAATAACCACATCAGTATCATGCTTCTTTTCTATCTGGTCATCTCGGTTGCCTCGTCATAGATCCTGTTTACAATTCTGGTTTCAATTTATTTTCCCCACAACGTTCCAAACATTTCCGCTGGTTAAAAATTTTCCCAGAATGAATTACCTTAAAGTATTTAAATCTATTTTCGTGTCTTAAAAAATAAGTACGAAAAAGGACACAAAAGAACTGGACTTTCTTGTTTTTCTTTGAAGACGTTTCGCTTCTCATCCCAGAAGCTTCTTCAGCTCTGACTGGATGGTGGGGAAGGGAAGGACTTATACTCCTTGCAGAGAGCTGGTCATTTGCATTCTTTCAGAGAGTTGTTGAGGCCACTTGGAGGTTTATGAATGATTGAAGAAGTATAAATCCTTCCATTCCCACCATCCAGTCAGAACTGAAGAAGCTTCTTGGATGAGAAGCGAAACGTCTTCAAAGAAAAACGAGGAAGTCCAGGTGCCTCGTCAAAAAGCATATTTGGGATTCAATACAATGAAGACACCTCGTTGTCTCCATGGCTTCTCTTAATTTGGGTTTGATTGGGTTCATTTTAATGTCCCTCCACTTCTAACCATCTTTCTTCCTATCTGCTCCTGAACACACACACACACACACACACACACACACACACACACACATACACTCTCTCTCTCACTCTCTCTCTCTCTCACACACACACACACACTCTCACTCTCTCTCTCACACACACTCTCACTCTCTCTCTCACACACACACACTCTCTCTCACACTCTCTCGCTCTCTCTCACACACACACACTCACACTCACTCTCTCTCTCTCACTCTCTCTCTCACACACACTCTCTCTCACTCTCTCTCTCACTCTCTCTCACACAAACACACTCTCTCTCACACACACTATCTCTCTCACTCTCTCTCTCTCTCTGTGTGTGTGTGTGTGTGTGTGTGTGTGTGTGTGTGTGTGTGTGATTCAGGACTGCCAGAGGGAAAATGATGCTTAGGGTGTATTTGTCAGCCACTCCAGCTGCTTCTGGGTTCTGCAGATCAATATAACAGTTGGAAGAGGAAGCTGGAGTTATATGCATCCTTCAGGGGGGAATGTCAATTCATATGAGACAGGACTTCCAATGCATTGTTGCCCTTAGTTAGAAGGGAGAGACCCCAAAAGTGGTATTTTTTCCAGGAGGCAAGGATTTATACAGCTGTTAAGGCCCTTTGGAGGTTTATCAATGATTGAAGGAGTATAAATCCTCCCATCTCCCCACCATCCAGTCAGAGCTGAAGATGCTTCTGGGATGAGAAGCAAAAGGTCTTCAAAGAAAAACAAGGAAGTCCAGTTGACTTGAAAAAAGCACCTTTGGGACAACCAGGACCTGGATAATAATAATAATAATAATAATAATAATAATAATAATAGTAAAGTTGGAAGGGACCTTGGAGGTCATCGAGTCCAACCCCCTGCTCAGGCAGGAAACCCTACACCATTTCGGACAAATGGCTGTCCAGTCTCTTCTTAAAAACGTCCAGCGTTGGAGCATGACTGAGAATAATCTCCATAGACATTTAGCAGGGGGAGGGCATAGTTTTCTCCCCATGGCGTTCCTGTAGCAGCTCCTAAAGACCTTTCTTGAATAATTCCCTCCATGGAGGTTCATGCCCAGACTCACAGAACTGAAAGGATGGGTCGGGCAAGGTGGACTTGAGGTCTACCCTGAGTGGGGAATCCATACCACGTCAAAGACTGAGGATCTTCGTCTTCACTTCTCCTCCACAGCTTGCTGGCACGGCTGTACTGGGAATCGGACTATGGCTTCGCTTCGATTCAAAGACCAATGATATCTTTCAGTCGGAGGAAAACAATACGAACTTCTATACAGGTAAATCATTTAAGATAAAACCTTCCAGGCTAGTAACATTATTTTTTTCTCTCTCTCCTGGACGACCCAGAGGTTTTGCTTCGAGGTTGCAGAATTCCCTTTTAAAGTTTAAAACATTTCAGGATTGTCCTTCCATGGTGGTGGTTTTTTTTTTTAAAAAAAAATCCCTGACAAACACAAGCGCTGGTAATTGGACTAAAAACCCACGTTAATGCCAGAAAACGCCTTGCAAATTTCATCAACTCTTCTTAACGAGGGCGGGTGAAAGAAGGGCTGACATATCCGCTCAAACCGCTTGTGCTTTTTTTTTCAAAGCTTCTGTGTGAACTTAAAAATATATATATATAAAAAAAGTGGCAGGAATAAAGCATTAGCTGGATCCTCCCAACAGCGACAAAATCTCTCTCTCCTTTTTCTTCTTCAGCTGCAGAGTTTGTGTGAGGTCTCATGAAGTGGTTTTTTTTTTATTTTTAAGGCCTGCCCAGCCGTAAACACTCAACTTTTTCCTTTGAAGTCAACCAGGAAATGCTTTAATGAAGATAATAAAAGAATGTTTGCAAAATGGGCAGCCGTTAACTGATTAAAAAAAAAAACACACATGCTTTCTGCTGGGATTGTGAGCAACCGTCCTTGGCTTCCTTTGTGTGTGTGTGGGGGGGGGGAATAAATTGTGCAACTGGTTTTGTGGGGAGAGCTGGAGAGAGCGGAAGAGAATAATGGCTAAAGCAGCCGGGGTGGAATATTGTTTATCCTGGTAGCCCCCCCCCCCCCGGTATCAATTCTGCAAAATGGACGCCTGGCCATTTCCATCCTGAAATCGTTAGAAAAGGAATTTAAAAGGGTAGGGCTGCTATGTGAATTTTGATAGGAGATTGCAGCTGGGGCCTAATCTGTTCATTTGTGAGAATTTTAGCCTGGCTTTATTACTTTGGACAGTAACTTGGGGCAAATAGGTAATAATAATATTGATAATAATAATAATAATAATAATAATAATAATAATAATAATAATAATAATAATAATAATAATAATAATAATAATAAATAATAATAATAACAACAACAACAATAACAATAATAACAATAACAACAGCAACAATAACGATGATGATGATGATTGATGATGATGATGATGTTGGAAGGGACCTTGGAGGTCTTCTAGTCCAACCCCCTGCTCAGATGGCTATAGAGAGGTCTCTGTAGTCTCTTGAAAGAAGAATTTGCTAGCCTTTTCACCTGCCCTCTTGAGGATAGTAATATAATAATAATAATAATAATAATAATAATAATAATAATAATAATAATAAGAAGAAGAAGAAGAAGAAGAAGAAGAAGAAGAAGAAGAAGAGTAATAACAACAATAACAAACAACAGCAACAACAACAATAATAATAGAGTTGGAAGGGACCTTTGGAGATCTTCTAGTCCAACCCCCTGCTCTAATTAATTAATTAGGCTCCTCCCTCCTCCTCTTTTCCCCACAACAAGAACCCTGTGAGGTGGGTTGGGCTGAGAGAGAGAGAGAGGGACTGGCCCTACGTCACCCATCCGGCTTTCCTGCCTAAGGCGGGATTAGAACTCATGGTCTCTTGTGATTGCCTCAGAGTCACCCAGCTGGCTTTTTTTGGGCTAAGGCAGGACTAGAACTGACCGTCTCCTAGTTTCTAGGCTCGCACCCTAACCGCTAGGCCAGACCGCTTATCATTCCACATGAGAAGGGGCAAGAAAGGGTCCGCCCAAGTGATTGGGCCCTGCAAGGAAAGATGACAGCCATTGGTGTAAATGCAAGCTGCCTTGGTTGAACTCCTTGTTCCATGTGATCTAATTCTTCTTCTTCTTCTTCTTCTTCTTCTTCTTCTTCTTCTTCTTCTTCTTCTTCTTCTTCTTCTTCTTCTTCTTCTTCTTCTTCTTCTTCTTCTTCTTCTTCTTCTTCTTCTTCTTCTTCTTCTTCTTCTTCTTCTTCTTCTTCTTCTCCTCCTACTCCTACTCCTACTCCTACTCCTACTCCTACTCCTTTCTTCTCCTTTTCCTTCCTTATCCTCCACATCTTCATCTTCCTCCTCTTCCTACGCTTCTTCTTCTTCTTCCTCTTCCCTTTCTTCTCCTCCTCCTCCTTTCTCCTCCATAGGGATTTACATTCTCATTGGTGCTGGCGCCCTCATAATGCTGGTCGGCTTCTTGGGATGCTGCGGAGCGATACAGGAGTCCCAGTGTATGCTTGGCTTGGTAAGTCTATACACACACACCCACACACACAGAGACCAGGCCTTAAAATTGGACTATTTCATTCCTTGAGTTTTTGCTTTTGTTTTTCCCGGTCTAAAAATAGAGCCTAGGAAACATGTTTAATTCGTTATGCATGCCCGGAGAGGCTCCAAACGCAGTGAGTGATGTGCGTTAGGATTTTGTGTGTGCCACACAACTGCTTCCTATTTGCATAACATCCCGGCGCTTTTCAAGCAGAAAATTCTTTTGCAAAGATGGTGATGGTCTGATTGGCCCAGATCATCTGATAGAGAGAGAGAAGAGAGGGATCAATTTGGAAGCTCAGATCCAGGTTGAGATTTGGGGAAAACAAGAGTAAGTTTGCCCTGGTTGAGAAAAAAGACAAAAACTGCAAAAAAAGGATAAAGACAAAGGTTTCTACTTTTATTTTTCAGCAGTGCGACCTTTAAGAGGAGTTGCGCTAACCCCTTCCCGCCCCAAATCCTTCAAAGGACCACAGCAAATCTAGGGTGTTGTCAGCCCTGGAGACTTGTTTGATGTGACTTGTTTGATGGGAAAACACATGTCACAAACATGTCAGAACACAAACCAATGTCAAGAGGAAAAAATAAGATACTTTCCCCTGTTCAAGCTCATTAGAAAATTGATCTGAGCTTCAGCATCGAAGGCCACAGTACGAGCCCATCCTAAAAGTGTCCCCAAATAGTGGGGCAAAGAATCATAAAGCTAAAAGGGTGCTGGGAGGTCATCTAGTCCAACCAACGGTCCTTATTCCTTCCCACGTGGCTGGATGCTCAGTCTGGAACTCTTTTCTCCAGCTGTGTCCTCAGCTTGCTGAATGGCTGCTATTTTACTGCCCTTTTAAGACTCTCATTGATTTGCTGAGTTTAAAGGAGCTTGTTTTGGTTCAATTGCTTTTTATCAAGCTGTTCTTAGAGTTGGTTGTTAGCATTTTTTGGTACCCTGCCTCTTCAGAAGGAAGGGGGCATCTAAAAATGAAATGAGGGTGTTATCATCATGATATGCCAA